TTGGTCCAATTGCTAATGGAATCCTTATTCCCAACTGAAACCTCCTGAACTTAGCTTTTTGCTATTTGTATTCCTAGTATCAGCATTTTTGTCTCCTGACCTCTAACCAATCAGTATCTACTTACAGCATTCTAAGGTTTCTGTAACCTGCATCTCTCACTGCTGTGGGATTCAGGCTCTTGGCTGAATATTCTGTATCTTTGGTGTTGTGGACAGATTTCCTGCAGTTTCTTATGTTAACTCTAGGTGACCATCATAAAACAATATTTTAAATTCCATGTCCTGATTTTAATTGCTCTCCTCACAACCCTATGTACAAGTTTCAAGATGTTAACATTTCCCAGATAATTTTTATGTGGAGCAGTTTGACAGCTTCCAATAGAGACAATGTTTTACTCAACATGTGATGCTACCTAGTAGTCATTTTCCTAGAAATGCTTTAACTCTATGTATTATTTGAAACTGATTTTTTCCAGAGTCAAGCTTACAACTCTTCAGCATCTGGCATCTAGTATTTTCTTATATTTGAAATTGGGGTACTACTGGCCCATTTTTATACTCAGTAATTTCTCAAAATCATCAGCAGTGCCTATGAGACTGTATCTACTGGTTTTTTCATTGCCATTTGAAGTAATTCAGTGAGATATAAGGTCATTCTCCAAATTCCTAGGATTGTCCAGATCTCTAGCTTGAGAAGGGAGGCAATGTCTAAAATGCATACTTCTAGGCTTTACTGATAATACCCAATTCCAAAAAGAGGTGGGCCTGAAAATCTGTATTTAAAATACAGACTTGAAATGAGGATGTAGCCTAGTTCGACAGCATTTGCCTATTGGCAAAGTCCTGCATGAGTCCAGATAAAAACCCAGAGGTCATAATAATGCCTCCCACAAGTCCAGGTGGAGGTCTAGAGCCCACAAGAAGGACTCATGCTAGTTTTTATGCATCTGTGCTGGGAAGGCCCAAAGGTTACCAGTGGGAGCTAGAAAGTCTATGCCAGTGGTGTGAAGGAGCTATGCTGATAGGTTGAGCATTCTATGCTGGAGCCGAGAAGTACACTCAAAACAAAGACCAGGACTGTCCTGAAAAGTACCACAGCCATCTTCAGCGACACAGAGGCCCTGAGCTTCTCCAACGATAAGCACAGTCGAGTACAGGCCAGGAAGCCAGTGTGACGAGTTCATCTTGGAGATTAGTTGGCATGTGTCTTTCTCTCTGGAGCCAGGAAGCAATGCTCGATGTAAGGATCAGAGCTTCTCCAGGAGACCCAATGGCTCAAACAACAACAATTAGTGAAACCCACAATGCCTCAACACCTCCCTTCTTCTCCAGTCTCTATGCTGGCAACTTTCTTCAGGTAAAACATCTATGCTCAGCACCATGGTGATTTAATTCCACTACTATTAAGTTGACTACCAGTTTTTAATCTATAACAATACTCAATTGCCACCCAATGCGAATTATATCAGAATCTCTAGAGATGGTATCTGGGAATCAGTGTTTTTTAACCCCCCAGAAATTGATCCAGTGAGGTGCAGGCTGAGCATGGGGGATTTTACAAGCTCCCTATATAACTAATATGCAGTAACTTGACAACTATAGGTCTACATGATGTCAGCCAAGTTGCTTAATTTCCTTGCACTTTGTATAAATACAAGGTAGTTTTAAAGGTCTCTCTCACTTATAAACATCTATAAGTTTTTAAAATTAAAAGTCATGCCAAGCCTATTCCCTCCTTCTTACCATCTTCCTTCTTTCCCTCCCTCCTTCCTTTCTTCTTTTCCTTCTCTCTTCTTCTTTAACAAATGTGCTTAGAGAGTGTAATAGATATATGTAGCCCTGAAGTGTACTCTGAACTCTAATACCACAGGCTAGTTATCCCTTTATATTTGACCTTACTTATGTTTTTTTAATCCAGTTAGAGACAGGAAAGACATGAAAGAAATGCCTATCAAATGTGGAAATCACTCAAAGTTTAGGAGAATTAATTAATTCAATACAAAGAAGCAGGCCTACTTCTGATTAGAAAATTTGTTTATTAGGGTTATTATTGTTTTCAAAATATTCCCATAGTTCAAATATTTTGTTTTTTGTTTAGTGCTGGGGATTGAACCTAGGACACCAGACAAAGGCTGTTCACAGAAGTAATTAAGGAAAATTTCCCAGGCATAGGAAAAGGAAATGATGTTCAGATGTATGAGGCATACAGAACTCCAGCCACCTACAACCAAAACAGATCTACACCCAGACATATAATAATCAAGATCCCAGAAATTCATCACAAGGACAGAATATTAAAAGCCGTCAGATAAAAGAAACAGATCACCTATAAAGGAAAATCCATCAGAATCATGACAGACTTCTCGACACAAACCATCAAATCAAGAGAAGCTTGGAGTGAAGTACTCCAAACCCTGAAAGAAAATAACCTCCAACCCAGATTGATGTACCCTGAAAACTGTCTCTCAAAATTAATGGAGAAACAAGATGGTTCCATGACAAAGAGGAACTGGGGGAATTCGTGACCCCCAATCAACCCTACAAAAAATACTGAAGGACATTCTAGAGAGAGAGAGAAAAAAAATACTAGGGTTTCAGAAACAGTGGCAGAGAGGCCTCAATGAATGCAGAAGACAGTGGAATGAAGGAGAAAAGTAGACAACCAATGGCAGAAAAACCGCATAGCAGAAATGAGGCAGAGATGGTTGGCCATAATCTCTAATATAGATGGCTTTGATACACTAACAAAAAGAAACACAGGCAGAGTATAGCAGGAGGTAGGGTCCATCGAGATGCTCTGCATAGGAAATATAATTAACCTGAAAGAGGGTTATGGACCAAAAATCAAATATGAGAAAACAATGCTGTATGTGACAGGGAACCAGAGAGAAATCGGGACAACTCGACCAGCACCTGCAGATAGATTGGAAAGACATGATACTTTTGTGCAGTAGAGAACTACTCAGCTATAACAAAAAAAAAAAAAAAACCTTGAGGCTTTTGTAGGTAAAGGAATACAACTTGAGATCAAGTCCAGGAATAACAAGGTTTGGAGCCATTTAGGTAGATAGCAGGTTGCCCTCCCCCAATCTAAAAACTGAGGGAGTTGGTGGGACCCAAAATGTGCAATGCACCCTGTGGGAGTGAAAAGGGAGGAATTGTCTAAAAAAGGAAGGCAGAGGATATTGTTAATAGTGTATCAGAATTTAAAGTCAACATTACTCTCACTGCTCTGTTTAGATGGATTATATTCTGTTCCAGTTTGTCTACTTGTACTAGATTTGAGGGCATAGATAGCTATCCCAAAAATAGCAGGATATGGTACAGTAATCATCCATAATTTCCTATTAACTTAATTTGTAGCCCTGTATAACTGTCTTATTATGACTGATCTTATTTGAATCTCATTTGTTAGATTGCTGTTTTGTATTAACTGATTTTATTTGAATCTGTAAGTTTGATAGTATGAAATCTGAGAGTAATAGGCAACTATACTGAAAATGACAAGATTTACTAGAATACCCACTCTGGTTTGATTATTACCTGCTTTTGAAGTGTTATAATGTCTCCAATGTTTCATATTTATTAATACTGTTATGTACTGCTATATTCAATTATACTATGCTTGGTGATATAGACAATTCTATTGAAGATGACAAGAGACATCATAGTAACCATTGTAGATCACCTTGTATTGTGATTTTATATGACTTTTTCGTTTCATGTTTTTCTAGGAATTTGTTTTGCTTTGTCTTGTTTTGTTTTCCCCTCTAATACAGAAAGGATAGATATACATGTAGAGACTCATGCATGCATAGAACTTATAAACAGTCTATGATAACTTATTATATAACACATGATGAAATGAACAACTACTTTGAAGAAAAAGAGACACTACAGTACCCAGTGCTGATTCCATAGCATCATGATGTGAAATCCAGCAATACTATTATTCTTTGTTCAGAATGATTTTAGTCTGTTTTGTTTAGTGTAATTTCAACATACGTGAAGGTGTGAACAACTATTTTGAAGAGAATGAGAGACATTATGGCAGCCATTGTTGACTTCCCTATTGTCTGGTCTTGAAGACCTAAAACAGCTTGAAGGCCTAAAACTGATCCTGTTTGGATCAGTTTTATACTATGCTGTTTTGTATGAATTCACTGTAGGTGACAATATAGACAACTATTTGGAAGAAAGCAAGAGACAATATGATAGTGAAGATCTCTGGTTGTCTTGCTTTGAAATTTATGTCTCTTACATTGTTTTTATATGTTCTGTTTTGTTGTGTTTAATTTTACCCTCTTTAAAATAAAAAAAGAAAAAAGAAAAATCCATGGAGTTACTGGAATTAGCCATTCAGCACCCCCACTAGGGAGTTTTGTGAGCGCATTGGAGACATTGGAGGAATAAGGCCTGGGGAGTTGGTTTAAAAATGACACTCATAGATTATGATTTCTGAATTTAGGGGAAGGTCTTGTGCTAACTTCTTTTTGAAAAACAAACTTAAACTTATCATGAGAAATATTGTGAAAAAAACTCACTTTGATTTGAATTGTGGGATGGTTGTTTAAATATGTTGCTTTTGTCTCACAGAAATCGCCAATTTGTGTTTTTAAAAGCCTAGGTAGATTTAATTACCTTGAGTTTAAAAGCCAAAACAAATTATGTCAGCTCTTCCATCTCCCATTCTCTGCATTTCAATTAGAAAATTGTAGCTCTTGCATTTCAATTTTTCTTTTCATTATTAGTGCTTAACTTTATACAGAACTTGATCTGACCTAGACATGAAGAAACTACGCTTTATGTGTAGCAAAATAAACAATCCATAGCTGCTCAGTAGCTGCTGCTGTGGTTTGGAAAATAAACCAGGACTAGATTATGTCTGATCATTTTCCATATCACATGATAAATGGCAAATCACAATAAGCATAATGTATCCTGCTGGAAAGCTCCTTGGCTATCATGTTGTTAACTCTTGCTTTTGTTTTCCTCTTTAGAATCTATACTTGAAGGTGATCAGCTGCGAGTGGCTCCTCAACACTAAGAGCGGGGACTTGTCACACTTCTTGGAATAAACAATTGAGTTCTTGAACATAATAAGATTTAGAAGCCATGGGCTGTGGGAATTCTTCACTGAACAACAAGAAATCTGAGCGAGGTGAGTTCTGGGAATGTGTCTGTGTTTATGAATGAAGAAGAGTGAGTGAGCCCCACTCACATTCTCTCTCCTCTTTTCTCATTTATTCCCATGGTTCTCGGGTTTCCCTGTGTGATTTTGTACAAGGCATAATCATTTGAACCAAACATGAAATATTAAATGAACTACCTGGGGAAAGATGGAGCTTTTAATTTATGATGTACCATAAAGTATTATCTAAGAGGTTCCTTATGTTTGACTTGATTTCAGTTTAAAATGTGCCAATATAAAATCCCAATTTGTAACACAGTGGTAGGGAACAAAAAAGACACTATAATTTATATATCTTTTTCAGTACTCTTACAAACAGCTGAATCCATACCTTTGTGACATTTAGTAACATCACTGAATTTTATTAGATCTTATAACTCAGTGATCACATTTTTTTGATCTGTTCAACATAGAACTTCATGAGATTTGCCTCGTGTCTTAAAAATATTCTAGGATGAATTTGGGAATTGCTAGGTCATATGTTTCCAAAAAAGTGTATCTTTTCTGAATAGATAACATCCCTCTTCTACTTCCATGTAAGTAGAGGTTTTTCAATGGAGGTACATTTTCATGGCTATTGAAATCCAGCTGAAACTCATTTGAACGTTTTAGGGGCATAGACTCTACCAGCAAATTAAAATAAAAGCAAGCTGGGACAATTATATGAATAATTGGCTTTTAAACTCCATTCCTTTGTTATGTATGTTGTAGATAATTAGTCAGGTTTAAAGCCCACATTTTGGTTCTAGAAGTTTATTTGAGCTTTAAGTAGAGTGTTTAGGACGCAGTGTACACTGCAGCCAGCTGTAATGGTGAACCTGTAGCTCATGAACCACAGGAAGCATGCAGAGCCCTCTCTGCGATGACATAACGAGTTGTACAAGTTTTTTTTTTTTCTACACTAAAACCTCAGTGTTTAGGTTTAATTGCACTGTTGGCATTTTTCAGTAAATAAGTAGGTTTTGAGTTGCAATCTGGGCCCTCAGTCTCCTAAAAGGTTCATTATTTTATAGTTATTACTGCAGGATGTTTTCCTTTGAGAATCCAGTGTTTTCCTTCCCAGCTAACTTATGCCAGTGAGTTAGCAAGCTCATCACTGTAAGCAGGAAAGGACATTGGTAAGGGCACTAATTCTCTCAAATTTTTAGATGTGTCATGAAACACAAAACAGATCTTTCAAAACCTCCAACTGAAATAATCCCTGGTACAGTAGTAATTTATTAACAAATAGTGAAGAGAATAATTATCTGTTGATATCTAGAGTTACACACAGCTCTTTGAATTTGGCCAGATTTCTTAGCTGAAAAGGTAGAACATAGAGGGACTGAGAGTGTAGTTCAGCTGATAGCTCAGTTCCCCAAAAGGTGCAATGCCCTGGGTTCAATTCCCCAGGACAGAAAGTTCTTAAAAAGACTAAATACAGCTTATGAAAGCAAATTATATTTCTTTTTGAAATGCTTTTCACCTTTTAATATGAGTATAAATAGAAATATTAGTTTAGAATATTGGTTGCTTTTTAAAAATAATTTATGGGGTGAAATTTGCATAAAATTAACCATCATAAAGCGAACAACTCAGTAGTGTTTAGTCTAGTCAAATATTGTGTAGCCATAATCCCTGTTGAGTTCCAAAACATTTCCATTACTCCAAAGTAAAATCCTTTATCCATTAAGCAGTTTCATTTCCAAGGGTCCCTTGCTAAGTTTAAAATTTGTGCTCATATTTTTCTGTTAAGATTTATAGTTTCAGTTCTTACATTTAGGTTTTTGGTGCATTTTGAATTAATTTTCACATTTGTGAGGTACAGTACAAATTCATTCTTTGCATGTCAATATCCAGTTGTCCCAGCACCATTTGCTAAAAAGACTTCTTTCTCCATTTAATGATTTTGGCACTCTTGTCAAAAATCAATTGACTGCAAATGTGAGGGTTTATTTCTGGGCTCAAAATTTTACTCTATTGATCTATATGTCTTTCGATGCCTGTATTAGTGCCTTGTTTACTGTAGTTTTATGGGCAGTTTTGAAATTGGTAGGAGCTCTTGAGCTTTTTTTCTCTTTTTCAAGATTGTTTTGCCTATTTTGTGTCCCTTTAGGATCAGTCTACCAATTTCTTAAAAGAAGACAGCTGGGGACTGGAGATACAGCTCAGTGTTAGAGTGCTTGCCTAGAAAGTGTAAGGCGCTGGATTCCATCTTTATTAACACACACACACGTACAAAGAAGAAGGAGGGGGCAACTGGAAGGTTAATGGGGATTGTGTTGAATCTACAGATGGATTTGGGGAGGAGGTCCTGCCATTTTAACAAGGAAACCATAAGACCCATGAACATAGGATGTACTTGTGTTTAGGTATTCTTTTCATAAAAGTTTTATAGTACTAAGTATAAATTTCACACTTCTTTAGGCTATACTAAACCTGATATTTTTGATGCTATGGTAAATAAAATTGTGTTCTTAATTTTATTTTTGGTTTATTCATTGTAAATGTATATAATCCTGAAAGGTTGCTAACCTCATTTGTTAGTTCTAATTGATTTTTAATGAATTCTTTACGAATTTTATTTATAGATGATGTCATCTGCAAATAGATAGTTTTACATCTTCCTTTCAAATGTCTTTAATTTTGGGGCTGGGGGTTTAGCTCAGCGGCATAAGCACCTGCCTTGAAAGCAGGCAGTCGTGAGTTCGATCCCCAGTACCGATAAAAAGGAAAAAGACAAAAAAAAAAAAAGCTTCAAATGTCTTTAATTTTTTTGTCTAATTATTCTGACTAGGTCCTCCACTGAAATGTTGAATAGAAATATGAGAAGGTAGATCCTTGTCTTATCCTAGACTTTGGACAGAAAACATTTAATCCTTCAGCATTAAGTATATAGTTGTGGCTTTTTGAATATGTATTTTTTTGTCTTTTTCATTTTTATCGGTACCAGGGATCGAACTCACGAGCAGGTGCTTATGCCGCTGAGCTAAATCCCCAGCCCCTAGTTGTGGCTTTTTGAAAGGTGCTTTATTTTTATCAGGTTGAGGAAGTTCATTCACACTCCTAGTTCATTGACTTTTCTAAATCACAAAATGCAGTTTAATTTTGTCAAAGGATTTTCTGCATGTATTGAGATGATCATGTGGCTTTTGTCCTTTATTTATTGGTATGACATATTACATTAGTTGAATTTCAGTTGTGAAACTAACATTGCATTTGTCGAATAAATCCCATTTTGTCATGTGTACAGATCCTTCTTATACGTTACTGAAATCAGTTTGCTAGTATTTTGTAGAGGAGTTTTACATCTATTTGTAAGAGGTATCAGTCTATAGCAGGGTGGCAAACTAATGGCATGTGTGTCATTAGTTTTTCTTTTAAGACAAAAGATGCTAATGCATGAGTTGTTTTTTTCTAACTTAAAACCTCAGTATCCAGGTTTAATTGCAGTGTTGGTGCTTTGTGATAGATAAGTGAATTTGGGGTTCCAGTTTGGGCACTTGTCTCTAAGAGATTTGTCATCACTGTTCTAAAGTTTTCTTGTGATGTCTTTGGTTTTGATATTAGGGTAGTAGTGACTTTATAAAATGAGTTGGAGAATATTCCCTTCTGTTCCATAGTTTGGAAGAGTATGGAAAGAACTGGTATGAATTGTTTAAATGTTTAGTAGATTTTGTCATTGGACCTTTCTAGGCATGGGGATTTCCTTCATGGGTAGTTTTTTGATTACTTACCCTATTTCTTATTATAACTCAATTCAGGTTTTTCTTATAATATAACAACTCTATTCAGATTTTTCTTTTTTCTTGAGTCACTTTTGGTCAGTTGATGTCCTTGTGGGAATTTATCAATGTCATCTATATTATCTAATTCATTAACATATACTTGTCTGGAGTATTCCTTTATAATTCTTTTTATCTTCCATTATCTCTTCTTGAATATGTAAATCACGGTTTATAAAGCTGACATAATGGTATGTATTTACCTTTATAGATGAACATTTTATTCGTAAAGTTTTATTCTTATTGAGAAGTTTAGGAAAATATAGAAAACCAGCTGGAAGTAACTAATAGTCACTCATCATTGTACTTCCCAGAGATAACAGATTCCAGGTGTCCCACACACACCCCACCTTTGGTATAATTACTGTAGATTTTTGATCATTTAAGTATTGGTTTATTATAGCCTCATTTGCCACATTATAATGTTATTATGTAAATATTTATCAAGTTGCTTCATAAACATCATTTTAGCCATTGCTAACTATTTAAGTTAATGGATAGGCCATAACATACTTAAATAGTCTTCTAATATTAGACCCTCTTTAAAAGAAAAAAACCAAATACAAATAACACTTTGAAGAATTTATGCAAAACTGTTTCCTTATTTTGCATTATTCCCCAAATCAGGTGATTATATATAAAATTACTGTGTCAAGGGCTATGAATATTTTGAAAGCTCTTGATAGAAAATAATAGCTATTATTTCCTGATTACTAGCTGTATCCTAGAGAGTACTCAACATATTCTGCATAATTTTACTTACTCCTTGTAATAAACTTGAGTAAAGTATTATTTCTATTTGTTTAGTTGAAGGAGCTTATTCTTAGCAAGGTAAGTACCTGAAAGGTTATACAAGTTTTCAACTTCCAGAGTTGAGCCCATAGAATTTTGACTAAAAACTGTTTCAGCTGCCAGCTATTATACCGTTTTATGCTGCCTCCTTTCATTTGCAGAGTGCTGTCTAGTTATTCTGGTCCTTTCACATACATTTCATCTTTACAACCTTGTGAAAGGTCATTCTCCATCTATAGAAAAGGAAACTGAGTCTTTGAAAGGCAAAATAATTTGTGCAAGAATACTTGGTCGAGAGGGTAAGAATTTGATTGGTATTTCTAGTGAACAGTCTAGTATTTTTTTTTTTTTTGTCTTTTTCCTTTTTATCGGTACCGGGGATCGAACTCACGACTGCCTGCTTCCAAGGCAGGT